GTCTAGGGACTGCTTGTGTTAGAATCTCTCTAGGCACTTCCCTCACAAGTCTGGCAGAGGAGTTGAAGGAGAGGATGCGATCCTGGGCCAAGACGAAGGAAAATGGGACAACTAGTGTTAGTAGATGTAGAGGTTTTCAGAGGACGAGTAGGGGCCCTAATAGATAGTGGGGCCACTCGTAGTTATAAGCAAAAAAGCGCTGCAGAAGTTGAAGCTTAATTTAAGGTCCGAATACTATAAGACCCTATAGTTAGTATCGTTGCAAACAATCGCACTATGCGAGTCGAGGATTACGTCGAGGGAGTCCAGGCCTACTTTCGCCTAGAGAAAGATGGGAAGGTAGAGAGAGTTCTCCATTCCCTGACTCTCCTCGTAGAGGACAGTCGCCCATTCAATATGGTTCTAGGAATGGATTGGGGAGAGGCAGCAGGGGCCACACTTCGTCTGAGAGAGCACGAGTTTAGGCTCCCTAATCCATGAGGAGAAGTTAAGATTGCTCGCATGTTTCATGTGTTAGGAGTAGATAACCCTTTGGCACATTGCTTCCTCAGTGCTCCCTCGTTCGCGCGATTAGTGAAAGGAGCAATTAGAAGAAGAACATGCTTTTGTAGCCTATGTTAGGTCTGTCACTGAGCCTAAGGAAGAGGAACCCACCAATCCGGCTATTGCCAAGTTGTGGGAACAGTATGCAGACTTGTATGAGCCGCCCATAGAAGTAGTGTCGCGGCCATCCAGCATCGTATTGAGATAGAGTCTGGCAGTAGGACTCCTAAGGGAGCCATTTAAAAAATGTCCCCAAGGGGAAGCTAGAGGAGTTGCACAAGCAGTTAGATGAGCTCCTCGAAAAGGGTTGGATTAGACCCAGTTCGTCTCTGTTTGGAGCACTTGTTCTTTTTGTCCCCAAGGAGGGAGAGCTTCAAATGTGTATTGACTATAGGGGTCTTAATGTCGTCATAGTGAAGAATGCAGAACCGCTGCCCCGTATGGATGATCTGTTAGATCGGGTGCAGGGCTGCAAATACTTTTGTAAGATAGATTTGAAGTCCGGCTATCCTCAGATAGAGGTACATCCTGATGATCAGTATAAGACGGCGTTTCGAACTAGATATGGGCAAGTTTATTGTAACGCCCTTTGGACTAGCCAACGTGCCAGCCATGTTCCAGCGCTGCATGAATGATTAGTTTAGGTCATGGTTAGATATGACATTCTAATGTTTAGCAAGACCCTCCAAGAGCATGAGGGTCATCTTAGGCAGGTCTTGGAAAAGCTAAGAGAAGCTAATTTCAAGATCAACGTTCTGCAAATACTTCTGTAAGATAGATTTGATGTCTGTCTCTCATCAGATAGAGGTACATCTTGATGATCAGTATAAGACGGCGTTTCACACTATTGTAATGCCCTTTGGACTAACCAACGTGCCAGCCACGTTCCAACGCTGCATGAACGATTTGTTTAGGTCATGGTTAGATAGATTCGTACTTGTGTATCTAGATGACATTCTAGTGTTTAGCAAGACCCTCCAAGAGCATGAGGGTCATCTTAGACAGGTCTTGGAAAAGCTAAGAGAAGCTAATTTCAAGATCAACGCAAAGAAGTGTGAGTGGGCCAAGACACAAGTTTTGTACTTGGGCCACGTCTTAGATGGAGATGGCATAAAGTCTGAGGACAGTACGATAGCAGCGATCAGAGATTGGCCAACGCCCCATACATTGACGGAGTTGCGGTCGTTCCTAGGACTAGCAAACTACTATAGACAGTTCGTGAGAAACTTCTCTACTATCGCTGCACCCCTTCGCAAATTGCTAAAGAAAGAATCGATCTGGGAGTGGGATCAAAATTGTTTTGAGTACCCAGTCCTCAAGGTAGCTGATCCATCCTTGCCTTTTGTTGTCACCACTGACGCCAGCCAGTGTGGTATAGGTGTTGTATTACAGCAAGATGATGGCAATAGGTATATAGTCTACTATAGACTCGTAGAGTTCATGTCTGCTAGGATCCCTTTAGAAAAGGTAGCGACATCTACCTATGAGAGGGAACTCTACGCTCTCAGGCAAGCGTTAGACCACTGGAAGCATTACTTGCTTGGGAGGCAATTCAAAGTCAACTCAGACAACGAAACATTGAGGTGGCTGAAGACTCGGGTCAAGATGACACCTAAGCTTACTAGGTGGGCCACAGAGATAGACCAGTTTGACTTTGAGCTCAAGCCTGTCAAAGGGAAGTATAACGTAGTCGCGGACGCTCTAAGTAGGAGAGCTGATTACTTTGGAGCGATAGTTCATTATTTGGATATAGGGAAAGACCTGCAACAGAAAGTTAAAACCACTAGTACCTCGCCCAGTGTTGGGAAATTAGGGAAAACTGGCAGTTTTCCCTAACTCCTGAAAATTCGGAGGCCGGGCCCGACGACGGTTGTCATTGATAAATCTGATCGGCGCGGTCGTTTCGTTTCGGCCATCCGAAAAGGTCGGAGGCCCACCTGAGGCCCTCTATTTTCCCACGCGGCAAAGGTACTAGTGGTTTAAGGAAGCGTATGCGCAGGACCCCATTTATAGTGACCTCCTCAAGAAAGTTAAGGGGTCACCAAAGTCAGAACCAGATTACAGCACTACAGATGGGTTGTTGTTTGAGAAGACTAATGTAGCTGATCGATTATGCGTTCCCAACAGTGAAAAATTTGTAGTCTAATCTTAGGGGAATGCCACGACACAGAGGGACATTTTGGTTGGCAGACGACGTTAGCCAACCTTGTTCGCGCCTATACGTGGCCTGGCATGAAGGCTGACTGCATAGAGTACGTAAATAGTTGTAAAGTATGCCAGAGAAATAAGACCACTACGTGAGCCCCTCTTGGTCTTCTCAAACCATTGCCTATTCCCGCGGGACCCGAAGATTCTGTGTCTATTGACTTTATGGATGTTGGGGTCAGGAGTAGGCACGACAAGAGCCAAGTCATGGTTATAGTTGATAGATATAGTAAATATGTCGTTTTTGTTCCTTTGCCCTCAGAGGCACGTACATATTTAGTCATAGACAAGTTCTTTGATCACTGGGTCAGTGAGCATGGCCTACCGATGTCGATAGTTAGTGACAAAGATACCACGTTCATTAGTCACAACTGGCAGGAACTGATGAGAGTCTATGACTCCAAGTTGTTAATGTCGTCCGGCTGTCATCCAGAGACTAACGGTCAGACCGAACAGATGAACAAGATCCTGCAACAAGTTCTCTGAATGTACATTAGACCCGATCAAGTCAACTGGGATGAGACGCTCCCAAAGGTAGCCAGCGCCTATAGTAACAGCGTGCACTTAGCCACTTGTCGCACTCGCAACGAGTTGCGTAAGTCCTTTAAGCCACGTAGACCGTTTGAAGGATTGAACCGGGATCAGATTCAGAGGCTACCGCCCGAAACTAGGGAGTTTGCGCTACAGCACGAAAAAGAGATTGCTACCGTGGTAGAGAACCTCAGGAAGGCCCAGCACAAGATGATAGAACAAGCCAACAAACACCATTGCACATCACAGTTCCAAGTAGGCGACTTAGTTTGGGTCAAGTCAAAAGAGTTTGCTCCTGAGGAGAACATCTCGCAGAAGCTATTGCCTGCATATAGAGGACCGTGGCCAGTCTTAGAAGTTGAGGGCGGAGGGGATGGGCCGTCCTACAGAATAGAGATCCCAGCACACCTCCATACACATCCAGTTTTTCACGCATCAAAGTTGTTACCTTGCACGACAAGTCAGCAATTTCCGTCGCGAAGATCGATGATTCCTCCAGATATGGATGGAAGGTACGACATTGATCGCATAGTAGACAAGGATGTGTTCACAACAGGAGGTAGAGGTCGTCCGCAGAAACAGTACAAAGTCGGGTTTCATTTCCAAGAGCCGGAACACGAACAGAACTTCTAGAGACTGCTCCCGGTGTAGTCATTGCCTATGAGAGGGTAAAGAAAGGTAAAGACCCTGTTATAGACTGAGTTATTTCGGAGTACCACGAATCTAGGCCGGCTGGAGTGAAACGGTTTTAACCTTTGCAGTAGCAGATGCAGACTCCAGGACTCGATCCCTAGACCTTACCTCACCTGTGTACAGTACCAAGTAGACCCCTGTGTGTTTGAACCCATGACCTGTGTCTTGGTAACTGACTGTTGTCTGTTGTAAGTCTGTGTAGCTGTCGGGTTTTGAACCGTAGGTCTGCCGAGTAGGGGTTGTAGCTGTGTAGGGGTCGTAGTAGCTGCTACAGTCCCGAAAGGCCAAGTCCACAGACTTCCGGAAGGTCCGGAACTGGCCTTTCGAGTGTTGCTCACGTTAGACCAGAGGCAAGTAGGCAAGAGGGTAGTCCAACTTTGCTTAGCGGTACCCAGTTCCAGTCTCACTTTGTCCAGTTAGCGAGTACCATGTGGGACTGTGTGCACCATTGGCCCGGTGGGAAGGAGCAGACCAGCGACCAACAGAAGTATAAATCAAGAGGCAGCATTCATTCTGCGTAAGCCATGCGGAACTGCTGCCCGAGTGTCTTGTGCGAGGTGGTCTGCAGATGCCCGAAGTCGAAGTGGGCTGCGGGGAAGATAGAGCGGCCATCGCTGCTTGTAGTAGTTGATAGAAGGCAGACATAGCTGCCCTAGTTAGCATTAGTTGGTACGAGTGTGTGTGTATGTGTGTGTGTACGGTACAGTGTGAGAGTGCATGGGACATCCAGGGAGATCCGGAGAAAAGTGTGAATACAGGGTCGGAAGGGTGATGTGTATGCACTCAGGCGCCATAGCCAATTTGGAGCGAGTTTGCATTTGACCTGTGTTCTCGGCCTTAATATCTCTGAGCTTTGTGTGGGCGCCTGGCGCCAGTGTGGATTGCCACCTGTTTGCATGCATGCATGCGGAATAAGGAAGAAGACGGGTCTGATTGCATTTCTTCCTATTCAATCATAACATCGTGATGGGAACCTCAAAGAGGGCCTGAGGGGATACACTACGAAAGCTAGAAAATGGCAAACGAACCTGGACATTGGCAAGCTGCCTTTCATGAGCAACCATTGTTGCTTTCATTGTGCTCCTCGTCTCCAGCTGCAGTTTCTCCAACTCTTGTCTAGCCTGTTCACACTCTGCCCTTATCTGGACTTCAGAAAACCCCAACCCCACATGTTCCCAAAGAGGCACACAAGGACAAGCACAACTGTCGGCACTGAGAAGTCACTTTCACGACTGGAGAAGATGACTCGCAGGAGCTCCTATGAGCGGGCTAGAACAGCCACTCTCTACACAAGAACACATCCCATCCAGTGACGCAGTCTACCCTGAGGTGTCATTCCCAACTGCCCTCCTTCAAGGCAAACATCCCATAACAAATGTTCCAAAAACCCACGGGTATGATTCCATGTAAGTCAAAAGGAGGGCTCATCCAGTAGGCTTAGTCTATGGGTGTCGATGAGTGTGCAGAGATGTTACAACAGTTCCAAGAAATGCACATCTGTGATGAATGCTATGCTGCTTTGCTTCTGAGAGCATCTACACTTGGACCTAATCACGACATGGAACCTTACATGCTGGCGCTCACCCTTCAGCATGTTGCATTCTCTTGCTGATGCTTCTGCCATCACTTGACTTCCTGCGCAGGCAGCCACAAGACAACAAACAGAAAACCAGCCTTACTCTGAGAGCCACTCATAAGAACACTCAGTCACAGTGGCCAGTTTGTGCACTTCAACTGCACACCCAGTCAGACAGGCACATGTACACGATCCGCATTGACACTATGCAGGCAACACTGAAAAGAGTGCTAAAGTAACTTTGGCAATAACTCTACTTCCGTAAACCACTCTTCCATTCTGGCTTTGGGATTGTGCACCAATGACATTTATGACAGTGCTTGGCCAGCAACCGGCCGGATCACCTTCCCCGGAGGAGGAAGAGGAGGAGGAAGAGGACGGAAGAGGAAGAGGAAGAGGAAGAGGAGGAGGAAGAGGAAGAGGAAGAGGAAGAGGAAGAGGAGGAAGAAGAAGAAGAAGAAGAAGAAGAAGAAGAAGAAGAAGAAGAAGAAGAAGAAGAAGAAGAAGAAGAAGAGGTGAGGAGGAGGAGGAGGGGCGCTGGTGGACTTACCTTCGCAGCTATGGGGGGCGGTTGCGACGAAGCGGGCTGGCGGGGCGAAGCAGCCAGAGAGGTCGATGGCAGGCTGGAGACTGGGCGCTGGCGCTGGTCACGTGGTGGCAGCACACAACGTTGACGTGCATGCTGAATGGCGTGACGTCAACGTCGTGTGATGTTTCTGTAGTGTGGGGCAGTCGGGCAGAGGGGCAGAGGCAGCGCAAAACCACGCCACGATTCACATTTCAAAACGGAGCCGATTTTGGCCGCAGATCCGCAGATCCGCGGTCGACATCGACCGCGTTTTCAAATCTGAAAACGGGGGCCTACCAAACGCCGTTTTCTTTCGGAAACGCGCGGCCAATCTCCGCCGATCGATGGCGGAGATTGGCCGCGTATTCTCAAAAGAAAACGTGGTCGGGTAGGGCCCATTTTTTTCCCACTGGTGGCGGCGGCCTCCCAGAGGCTGGGCGGGGACGGGGACGCCCGAAAATCCCCATTACTGCCCCCCAAAAGGAGTGCGCCAAATCGAACTGGGGGCCTGCTGGGCCAGGGAACCGCCCGGTTGGTCGAAGGTCCCCTCGTCCGTTCGGGGACCAGCACTGATTTATGCAATATTTGAAGGTTTTTTTTTTCAGGAAAAAAGTGGGGCTGGGGGGGGCGGGGAAGGAAGAAATGCTCACAGAATAGCAGTGGAACTTCGAGAACATGATTCGAGATATTTTGCAGCAAAAACGGAAATCAGCATAGGCATCTAAGCCAACAACAAAACAGTAAGAGGACAGTCACAAGAGCAAGGATAAGCTGGTGGCAAGAATGGACGGGTAGATGATTGTCAGAAGGACAAGGAAACAGCAAGTATGGACATGTAGATAATCATGAGGATGTAAATCCATTTGTAGGACACAAAGAATGAGAAGTACAAGTGCAGGGATGATTTGAGATGTTTTGCAGCGAAAAAGAAAATCAGCATAGGCATGTAAGCCAACAACAAAACAGTAGGAAGACAGTCGCAAGACCGAGGACAAGCTGGTGGCAAGTATGGACGGGTAGATGATTGTCAGAAGGGCAAAGAAACAGCAAGTATGGACATGTAGATAATCACGAGGATGTAAATCCGTTTGTAGGACACAAAGAATGAGAAGTACAAGTGCAGGGACAAAGGACAAAGAAACAAAAACTATGGACAGGGAGATAATCACAAGGATGTAAATCCATTTGGAGGGCACGAAGGAGAGGCACAAAAAAGAAGGACGACTATGACGCTGATGAGGGCAAGGTTGAGTTGCTGGGCAGGGGGCCTATATATTGCCACGAAAGGAACAAGCACAGCAATGCTTCCACAAGATCAAACAGATGAGATCAAACAGATGGAGCTCCGCTTTCCTCTTCTTTTTTGGTTAGGGGGGGGAAGGAGGGAGAGTGGGTGGGGGTTGAACATCAGAGGAAGTGGACCTTCATCAGGGCAGGGATAAGTGCCCCGGCCTGATAAGACACATCATTGGAGGGCTACAATCTTATTCATGGGGAGTGACACGTGCTGGGAATCCGGGCCAGGAGGTCGAGGGTGAAATAGCACATGGGAACTTGCTAACTGACCAAATTAGCCGAAATGGGCCTACAGAGAAACAAAGTTGGCATCACCAAGCAAGGAGGTAATGGAATGCAACAGCAAGAAATTACTTTCGAGTTGGTCGCCAACATCCTCTACAGCCGCCTTTTCATTCTCCAATGACACTTTCATTGCTTGAAGTTCGGCAAGCGCCGTTTCATGCGTATCCTTCAGGCGTCCGTACAAATTATCTTTCTCCACAACCTGATCAGCTAGCTCCTGCCCATGCAAAGTCACAACAACTTTGAGGATTCAGCCACATCAAGTCGTCCAAAAAGGAAAAGGTTTTCAACCGACTTGATGTGTCAAGAGTCAGTTCCCTTTCACAAGTGTGATCGGTCAACATCCACAAACCATATTACTGTCAGGATGAAAGAATCTAACAGCCACAAAAAGTATACAGACCATCACCAGAAAAGTAAACACCTAGATCCACGACTTCATGACAAGCAGCAACAGACTCTGGGCAGAAAAATGCGTGTGCTTGCCCTGAGCATGCCCTCAAGGTAACGGTACTACACAAAGACGGCGCATGAGTGCAGGAGGAGGAGGAGGAGGAGTTGCCGGAACACAAACCACTGAAAGATTTGGTCTGACTGACTGAATCGACTGACAGGACTAACAGACCTACCGGACCTACTAGGCCTAAAGGACTCGACCTAATTATCCTGCCTACTGGACAAGTAAAGTGGTGCATGGGAGTTTGGGACTTTGGGACCCGGACTGGGGATGCATGAACTCCATGCAAAGACTCCATCTTTGACAATAGAAATGGCATCACCTCATTAACGTTGCCAGACTCATGGGGAAATCCTGTGCTTATCAGTCTCGGCTCATTACCTTTTCTCTCTCCCGAGCCCATTCAATCTGCTGCTTAAGCTGTCTGACTTGTTCTGTTAACCCAGCCACATCTGCACAACCATCAGTGCTCTCATCTCCAGCTGGTGAATCTTTGGATGCATGAGGACCTTGTTCGTTTTCACTTGACTGTGCAACTGTCTGTACATGTACGGATGCCAGCTCCCGCTTGTGACGGGCAAGGAGACTCTCCATACGCTTTTGGTGACGCTCTTGCAATGACGCAATTTGCTCCTGCAAGGATTTCAAGGACCGCACATGCAAAAAAAAAACACAACATGCACTCATCTCATTTGGCACGAACATACAAACTGAAGGATGCCGCCAACGATTCGTTTGCTCAAAATACAGATTTGACTCGTTACTAGCATTCATTCGTGCAGCATGCAAAAAAAATATGACACCTTGCTGAGCAGTCTCCAACATACAATGTGACAGCTTACATCAGCAGGAGGCAAAATGGTCCAGATCACAGGAGAAGTGTGCAATGAACCACGCAGGCCCTATCAAACTCGCACATGCAAGATCAGAGCATTCACATCAGAGTTCACACCACACCGGAGAGATAACACAGGAATCAGCGCCAGATGTAGTTCCACTTAAAATATGATAATATACAATTGGAGAGTTCAAGTATCCAGTGGCAACTGCTGCGACTCAACACTGCAACGTGACACAGGTACGTGCTCAACTCCCCCTCCCTCGATGTCTGACCTCTCTCTCTCGCGCGCACGTGAGCACGCGAGCCTTCAATCCCAGCGGGAAAAAAAAAAACCAAAAAAAACAAATGTTGTGTAGAATTGCAATACAAACAACTTTTGGCTGAGGTGAAACGGTTTACACCTTTTAGCAGTAGCGGATACATACCCAGGGTTCGATCCCTAGATCTCACCCTACCCATGTACAGTATCTGTGTAGACCCCGGGAATTGAACCTGTGACCTGTGTATTCGTAGGCAGTTGGTAGGCCTGTCGTAAGTCCATAGGCAGCAGGGGTTCGATCTGTAGGTCTATAGCGTAGGAGTCTTAGTGAGTTCCGGAAGCTTAGCTGTAAACCTTCTAGAAGGTAGGCAAGTGGGCAAGTGGTCAAGTGGTGAGGCAAGTGGTGGACTAAACCGCAGTGCAACAGCAGTACAACGTCGGTAGGAT